AAATTACGAATTTATGAAAGTTTGGATTTGATATCATCTTTAACTTATATGTCTCAATATTCAAATAACTTTCAATAAGTAACTTTTAAATATAAGTTTAATAAATAATTACTTTAATTTAATTTAAATAACGACAACAGATTCAGCTTTATATACAGGCTCGAATCTTATTTTATTCCAGTGATAACCTCTATATACAAAATTTTTTTATCGCAAAATAATTATGTAATAATTGCAACAAAATACCCAATTCTTCTACACTGTAATGCGTGTGACCCTCGACCTCCACGATCTCTCCTTTTCCTAACTGATTGGTTGCCCACACTCGGAACGAGTATGTAGTGTTTGGCACCAAATGATACACATCTATCTGTCTCTTTAAAGTAACAAAACAATTGTTAGTCTTAATTCAACTAATCTTTTTTTTTTATAAGGGATGGAATAACTTAATAACGTTATAAAAAAAAAAGTTTTTTTATAGTCTAATAATTGAAATCAAAGCGGATACAATGTTATACAACAATGTTACGCTATTGCGATGATTGCAGTACTATATAACGTTATCAAGTTATCTCGTCGCGTTTTTTTTTTAACATCCCTATTTTTCATTACAATTTCCAGATCAAGATATTTACAGAATTTGGAGGAATGTGTGTCGGAATAATGGGCTTCCATTCTTCCGGTTCTTCACCCGCGACTGGTTTCAAACGATATTCGGCAGTGAAGTCTATGATAGGATATCCGCCGGTACCAGTCACTTCCCAGAGAATGTTGGCCAATATTGTGGATGGCTTGACCCATACATTGTGCAGGGCTGGGGGAGGTGCTAAAGACACAAAAGAAATATACAATAAATAAAATCTAAGGTTGTATTTTAATAGACAGAGCAATGCTTATGCTAAAACTTGATTGAGTAAGATTCCTAAAGTTACTATCAAATCTAAAACGTGAATAAAAATTTTTCTAAAACTCATTAACTAATTGGTTTTTTTCGATACATTTAACTGTATTTAAAAAATGCTGCTATCTGTGATCACAAATTGTCTCATATAATATCAAAGTAGCCGAGCTACATACTTTTGACTTCCACATTGATCTTAGCTTTCACAGTATCGTCCAAAGTGCATGAATAATTGCCGGCGTCATCCACGCTAACATTTAACAGTTCCAGCACACCATTCGGTTCAATTTTCAGCCGTTCTACCTGTCTGTCCTCCCGTCCCTCTCTTATCCACATCACATTGGATTCCTCATAATGTGAAAGATCACTCTCCTCAGCACAGGCCAGTTTCAGATCTTTACCCACGTCCACAGCAATGTATCGCATTGGTACCACAGCCAATGCTTCCTGCCATCCTGCAAATTCACAAATCATTCATCAACATTTGTCTTATATGACTATTAATGATAAATCATTAACAACTGTTTCATTAGACTATCAATCAGGTGACCTAGGCAGGCAAATTGATAAACAAATTCATTACACCTAATAGAAAAAATACTCTGTCAAAAACAAACATGTAGCCCAACAAGTAGTGGCTACAGCTGGGCACATAAAATTGTACAATAAGAATTATACAGATTACAGATCTTGAAATTTAATCGCGTCTTATTTCCTTCATTCTCCTCACATAAAATATAACTATACATTTATTTAACTATATAATTAATAACTATATAATGAACGGATCTTTAATTGTTGCGATGCAATAATTCAACCAGGAAGCATCTCATTCTAAAAAGGATCTACAAAAATAATTAGCAAGAAGAAAGAAGACACGACGACGACAAAGAATTGCGTCGTGATCTCGGCAGGTGGTTTCTTAAACCACACACACACTCTGCCATTACTCACGCTTGCAAATGACGCAGGCAGCGATAGCAACGGAAGTAGTGCAAAAGCGACGGAAAACAGCGAGATAGCCTTTTTACATAACTACGACCCTGAATCGTAACGATCGTCCGCGCACGTATTGTAGCCGGTCGCGGATCGCATGATCGTTGGATGTGGATCACGGCATTTTCCTCGAACGGAAGCGTATCTCTCTCTCTTCCTTCCTTCCTTCCTCACGCACACACGTACACACTCGTTCTCTTTCTCTCTTTCGTTAATTATCGGCGAAGGTTCTTACCTGCCAGAAAGAGTATCAGCAACGGTAGCAATTTACGTTCGTCCATTCTGCCATAATAATACACCTAAATGCCTGGCGAGACTTTATTTTGTCACGGGACTCTCCTCGATCGCATCTCTCTCTCGTCTCATGTCGAATGGTCGCTCTCGTGGTTTTTTTTTACTCCGGATTTTTTTACTCCGGGTACGCTGAGAGGAGTAAAGGAAGAGGAAGAGGAGGAGGAGGAGGAGGAAGCGCGTCACTCGGTGTCGATCGTTGTCGCTATCAAACTCATCACGCCGCGCGTACGACGTTTATCTTACACGCCAACCATATATCACCAGCGATCGCTACGCGAACACCGCCCGTCCGGCGCGCCTCCCTATTTTATTGAGTCGCGACCGCAACGCCCCCTCTAACTCATCTTCGCGCACCCTGCCTTATCGATCGCCGATGCATCTTCCATCTATGGATAAAAGCAGAAAAGAGAGAAGCCATTATGATCGAGGCGCCCTCGTTTCAAGTTCAAGTCAATTGATAAGTTTCAAAACAGCTGCGATAAAAATCGCCATGGCAATTTATTCGTACGAGTGTATTAAGTGATCGAAAATCTCGAGATTGTATTTCAGAAAAGTACGGGAGTAACAAACGATCGTCTCGCGGATACTGTTTCCCTCTTAAAATCGACTGTTGAACATATAATTGTATATAATTCACGTGTCCTACATAGGAATTGGCTGTGAGGATGAAAAGAAAAAGAAGTTTAAGTCGACAAGAATTTAGATATTCTTACAATAGTCCATTGAATGCTTTTAGGAATAGGTAATTTCTGACCGAATTAAATTTTTATATCAAAAGATGGCTGAAGACTTATTTTTGATTTTTATCATTCAGTATGGTGAATCTCAATAGCTTGATAGACGAGAAGATGGTACACAAGGATAGGAGGTTATCTAGTGGAAAGCGAAAGTTGAAAAAACAAAACGCAGCGGACTCTTCTAAAAGAATGCCTTCACGAAATAGTGTAATTGTCATCAATGACAGCGACAGTGAAAGAGATGATAGAAATGAAGACGTCTCGCTCAGCGTCATTGAATGTAACTCAATACCGACCTCGCCTTTTCAACAAAATAAAAAACTGAAAATTTCTACAAAGAAAAACACGAATAAATCGTCTAGAACATCATTAGATAATGATTCATCTGTACTTTGTTTGACAGATATGCCGGAATGTTTAAATGAAGAAAATATAGGTAAGGTTTACTCTATTTTTTAATAAAATTCTGATAAAAGAATTTAAATGTTTTTTCGCTAGTAAAAAAACACAAAAGGTGCATTTCATTTATAATTACTGACACAAACATTGTTCTATCTTTGTTGGAAGTAACAAGGACAGAATGACACTTTATCATCAATGAAAAGCACTTTTTGTATAACACATTGGCCTAGTTTACGCTGTATACTTAGATGGCTACCTATATGATGGATCACGCCTGTTCAATTTAGGCTCTGGAGCCAAAACACATCGACGCAAAAAAATTCAATGTAAGATTTCAAAGACTATAAAGTGATATGTATCTAAGTTGATATGTATCTAAGTGACACTTATCAATACTTTATAGTTCTAAAATTGTACTAACATTGAATTTTTTTACATTGATAGCTTTGTGTTTTGGCTCCAGAGCTCAAATTGGACAGGTCTGTGATAAATATTCTTGTTTAACCTACAAATTAAACAAAGGCATATAGATAGAGACTTAAATGTACATAAACTAAGCCACTGAAATGTGATTGAATTATATTATCTTTGTTTAACACTGACAAACAACAAGGATATAATGAAATCATTCTATTACAATGCATCATCTACTTGTCTATTTGACATAAATAATTCATATTAAAATACTGTTTTAAAGTAATATCTGTATATCATGACATTTAGCACCGTCACAAACAGAGGATGATGTAGTTGAATTATGGTCATGTCTGAATTCATTAAATATGAGTAAAGACAAGAAAAATAAAAAGAAGCATAAAAAAGAGAAAAATGCAAATAAAAATGAAGAAGATATGAGACAAAATTCTGATGAGACAAATGAGATGTTTGTGATAGATACAACACCAAATTTGAAGTATCTCAAATTTTTAAGAGATACAGATACAGATACAGATACATCCCAATATGTATGGAAAAGAAAAAGAAAACAAGATCTGTCTTCCAATAAAACTATAGCCAAATCGTTTGTCAAACCCATTAAGCAAAGTACATTGAAATATTCAAATAACAATCAAAGAAAAAGGCACCATAAAAACTGGAATCCAAGTCCCACAAAATTAAATATACGTTACAATAACAAATTGCGAAAAGAAGCAGAAGGAACTCAGAAAAATACAGATGAAAATAGCGGAACAAATTCAAATTATAAATTAAGAGAGATAATTGTTGATGGTTGCAATGTGGCGATGAAGTATGATACTTTTTTTCTAATCATATATACTACTGATATGTATATTATTAATGAATTTTGATAAAATGCAAAAATTAGCTAATTATGTAGGGGTGTTCTCGGGTTAAACTACCAAACTTAAAATATGGATGATGTCCATCAGCTGAAAGTGTCTTCCATTTGACTGTAGATGAAATTCTTAACATAGAACTAGATCTTCGGGTACTTGTTGATCGATTTTGATCGAAATGTACTATGATGGCTGTTCTTCTTTCATTTTGCAAAAACTCCATCAGCAGGAAAGTTCCTGAGGAACTATATTAAATAACCCAGTCGTTTCCTTCAGTCGTTGAAATGTTAAAGAGAATACTGATTTATCCGGCAATCTTCTGTTCGAAAATCACGCGACGTATTCACGGCGAGCAGCGTTAACATTTCCGTCACAAAACCCATATAAATATGTCATATCGGCATATTCATTATTATATATATATTAGAATACATATGAGGCATGATTGTAAGTTTATTCTACAAAAGCATTAAACGAGCTAATAATCATGAACTATGAGCTTTTACAAACAAAAGCCTATCAATGACCTTTGAACTTCAAAACAAAAAGATATTTCAATTATTCATTCCTACAGTTCTGTATATAACTTCATAAGTAAATATATCTTGAAAGAAGCGTTTGCAAACATACATCCAGAGGAACATTTTTGTTTGTTTTGATTCTAAATTCATATTTTAAGTTTAGCGGTTTAACCTGGAAACACCTTGTACACTTATAAAATGTATAAAGATTACAATTTTATGTATGTCATTTTGAATTTCTATTTGAGGATATGATAATCTTTATATTTTAGCCATACACAAGGTAAAGAATTCTCAGAAAAAGGTATCCAAATAGTGGTAAATTATTTTAAAGAGAGAGGTCATGTTGTAAAAGTTTTCTTACCACAACACGTTCGTAGAAAGGAACATACGTTTCTTGAGCAATTATACAAAGAAGGAACAGTAATTTTTACACCTAGCCGCAAAATTGGTGGTAGACAAATTACATCTTACGACGATCGGTACTATATTTTTATTATGTAAATAGAAAAAATAGAATATATATTTTGTTACATTCTTTAATACATAGTAGGAATTATTTCTTGTATAGTAAAATGTTTATATTTTTCATACATTATGTAATACTAGATGCAGTATATAATATTATACTCTTATTGTATATATGTATAAACGCGTCTTTACAGAAGTGTAAGTAATCATTAATTTCTCCGTATTAAATAAAATGTTAACAAAATGTTAGCAGATGCAGCAGATTTGATCAGAAATATCAGTAGACTGACATCAATTGCGGACGCAGTTTGATTCTGTTCTATAAAGAACTTTAGGATCAATTGTGTATCTTGAAATGAGATGAAAATTACTAAATTAAGCGAATTTACTAAAATACTTACAATTTCATTAGTCAACATCTAGTAAATTTGTTCATTTTTGTAGTTTTCATCTCATTTTAAAATATACAATTGTTCACATAATCAGATAGTAGATTGGCGGCAAAATGAAGCAGTATCTAAGTGCATGGGCATCTGATGACAGACTGGTAGTAGAAACTGAGCAGAAGTTGTAAATCCTGCTCGGTCTCTATTGCTAATCTGCTAGTATAGCATATCAGCAGACTCATATTTCTGATAACAGTTTGCTCACATCATCAGATATTACAGATTCTGTGTGAAATTTTTATGTGACGATGTTGCCTTTCTGCTATCAGAAATTGATAGCATACTCTGTTTAAAACCTGTCTCTGCAGACTTAGCTAATTGGGCGCGTATTTTATATAAAACATATTAAAATTTATCTCAATTTTCTTGTTTACATCAAAATTATACAGTAAGTTATAATAGACTTTGTACTCTACTTTCATTGTTTATTGTATTCAATTAATTAGAAATATGTCGTTTCCTTACTTCAAAAGTGACAACTCGAACAATTAAATGTCCCAGAAAAGGAGAAAAATTGGCTTTTAACTTGACAGAATATCATTAGCTAATCAAATAATAGCAAAAAGAATATATTCCTAACATGATTAAATATCATTGTTTATCATTTTCATTTCACAATTATTAAAAAACCACCATTTTGAATTGTGATTTTAATATTTTTTAAAACTTATTTTGAGTTGTGATTTTTTGATGATTTGTAATAAAATTAAATTATCACTTTAATTTATTTTCACTTTATTATCACTTTAATTGATAGAGTAATATTTATTTAATTTATTCGTGATAGTAATTCGAAAATCACGTTTTTTTAATTGTGTCACTTTTAAGATATACAAGGGATATGTATATAATTTTTTTTTTAACATACATAAGCCGTGATAAAAATTTAAATCTTGACGCTTCCTCGTTATTTCTCTTATCACAGATTTATCTTGAAATATGCGACAACGTGTGGAGGGATAGTGATTTCCTCGGATCAATACAGAGATTTGTATAGAGAGAAACCGGAATGGCGCAATACTATTCTGAATCGTTTACTGATACCCACCTTTGTCGGGGATTACATCATGTTTCCGGAAGATCCATTAGGCAAGTTTGGACCTAATCTCGAGAGATTTTTGCGATATTGATAAAATTATATTATCATAAAATATATTATTCAGGGAATGGAAGTAATTAGTTACTTGCAATGCTGTTACTTTCCTTACCGTTACTCTTATAAAATAGTTAGGCAGTGACAAATTTTTACAGAAAAAGTAATTTCTCCGAATAGTAACTCTTCCATTCCTTGATTATTTTAATTTGGATATCAGGACTGATTAATGTCTTGTTTAAGAAATTATGAATCTTTTGTATTACAATTTTATTTCAAATATACTTATCTATTCATTTTTCTTTTCTTTATATAAACCGAATATATGCTTTTTGTCATGTCAACCTAAAAAAATTATTCATATACGATTAAATTTTTGTAAATTTAAATTTTTTACTTAATAAAAGTGTATATACATTTTTGGCATATTTATGTGAATTGAATTATATGCTGCAAAGAAAAATAAACAAATGGATTTATTTTGTGAAATGTGTATACGAAATACTGTGAAATTAACTTATATTTCTATAATAATTATATCCATAATTTATACTTTTATCACATGCGTTTATATATATATGAGATGCATTTGTAATGTTGTAAAAAATAATTTATTTACAAAATTCTTTGCTATCGAAATGTTGTATTCTATTATACTATTATACTATGATAAGTGTATGCAAGGTAAGTTAAAGAAAAATAAAAAAAAGATTATAAATTTTATTTTTTGAATTGTATAGTAATGATTTTCTTACAACTCTCATTTTTCATTTGAGTTACGAAATGGTGTACTTTTATATATATATATATATATACTTATATATACATGTACACGTGTGTGTGTGTGTAATATAAAAAATTTATAGAAAAAAATAAACATACAATGTCAACACAAACTATAGGTTATCCTATGCTGGTCTCCAACAATGTTTCCCTGATTGATGAATGAAATCCATGCTTTCTTGCGCAGATTCACGTGCAAAACGTTGCATTGTGTTTTCATTATCGCTATTATGACGCGCATTTGATAATACTGCTTCATGTTGGAAGGCCGAACTAACAGCTGAAATAGTTTTACATGAGAATGTAGATATTTTTCGTAATATTAGAAAGATTAATAAAAATGTATAGGTACTGTATTTATACTCTTTTATGAATAAGTAATTAATATTTATATAAATAATATGTATATAAATATATCGAATTAAATACTGTATAAGTTAAAGATATAAAAATTAAATATATATGTTGTTAAATGTGAAATATGTATCGATTTACTTGATTTGGCGAATAGTTTCCTTAACACATAGTCGTCATCTGCGGTTGAAACTGACTCTTCTCTTTCAATAGAACGTCCCAGACGACGACCGATTAGGCAAGAAACACGTTCTCCCTCAAACATCGCAGAAATATTTGCACTGTTCGATTTTTTTTTGTGTTTTTTTCGTTTACGAGTAGACGATGGCGTAAGTTTATCGTCACTTAAAACAATTTTATTCTTTTTTTTCACTGAATTATTATCTAGAGAGCTCACTGGAATTACATTCTGTTCACAATTGTCCTTAAATGTATTTTCATTTTCTATATTACTATTTCTTTCAATATTTGCATCAGAATTCATATCGAAATCTTCATTACATTTGCTCGGAGATTTTTGTGTATTATTTTGATCGGAAGATAAGTTTTGGTTCACAAGCAAATCATTTTTTGTGGCAAGAGTATCGATGCGTCTTGAATTATCATTTTGTTCATCATATTTTTCTTTATAAGTGCTATTATTTTCATTTTCATCGCGCATCGATTTTACATTAGCGCTTATTTTCTTACTGAGAATCGACGCTAACTTTTTCATCTGCTCGATTTTACTGAGAGAAAAGCCACTGGGTGTCAATTTAGATTCTCTAAACAAGCGATCCGATTCGGAAAATTCGCCGGTTATTGGCTCATTTAGATTAAATAACTCCACCAGATCCGTTGGTTTAAATAGTCGACGTTGGCGTGGCTCATCAAGAACCTTATTCGAAAGTAGTAACTTGAAGATCTGTCTGTGGTATATCTGAAAAGAAAGAAGCAAGTTCCTATTACTAAAAAATGTTACTAAACCATTTTATAAAATCTTACAAACATATCATTATTCATATATCTTTTTTACCATTAAAATTGATAATCTTAATGTTACCAACCTTTTCCTCAATCGTGCCAGCAGTAATCAATCTATAGACAGTGACTTGCTTATTCTGACCTATTCTCCACGCGCGTTCTCTCGCTTGAGCATCTGTAGCTGGATTCCAATCGGGATCATAAATAACTACTCGATTCGCACCGATCAGGTTTATTCCTAGGCCTCCTACGCGTGTTGTCAGCAAGAAGACAAAATATGACGAGTCCTATGGAAAGAAAGAATTAATTTTTCAAGGAAGTTATTCTCTTGCCATTAAATTGTTTAAATAATTAACATGTACATTGTTAAATTTTTGAATCGTTTGCTGCCGTTGAGACATTGCTGTTGTTCCATCCATTCTTAAATAAGTATACTTTTCACGTTGCAAAAGAGATTCCAAAATGTGCATCATCTGTGTACAAAGAAAAATAAATACGGAAAATAGTTTATTTGACTGATCAATTATATAATAACATGTCTAACATTATTATGTTAATAATTCTAATAAGTAATTTGAATAATTCGAAAAACACAAAACTGAGTAATATTTATTTATAAATATCTCTTTAAAGTATTCGATAATATTAATATTTTTGAAAATTGGACAAATATAATAAATTTATTTAAACATAAAATTTTTTGAACATATATTTTATAAAAAAGAATCATATTTACCTGTCTTCCCTGAGTAAACAGTAGCACTCTATGACCTTGTTTCTGCCAGATTTTCAGAAGAGATCGGACCACTATCATTTTTCCAGCACGTTTATAATATCCGAACTTCTCTATTTGTTCGTTGGACAAATCGATATCTTCATCACAATCCTTAAAAAAAAAAAATAAGATTTATAATTTTATAAATAAAATGTTATTATATTAGTTATGTCTTACTTGTTCTCTGGTGTACAAAAACAGATCCGGATGATTACATATTTTTCTCAATGTTGATAAAGCAATGAGAAACCTCGCCCTGTATCTTCCGCTACTACAATAATTTCTCTCGTGTAAAACAAAAGAAACATCATCGGAGCATAAATATTTTTTATATAATTTCTTTTGCTCATCTGTTAAGCTGCAAAATAATACCTGAAGAAAAAAATAGATTGATTCGATAAAAATGGAAAAAATCAATATTTCTTTGTTTTCTGTGAAAAAGGCTAAAAATAGAAAAACAATAATTGTCTGCAACAGAGACATATCTATTGTAAAAAAACAAGGTGAACCTGTTCGTTTTTCTCCGGTAGGGTGAGGTGATGCTTCACATCAATCTTTGTCCTTCGAAGCATGTATGGTGTAATAGTGTTTTTCAGCATAGTGGCTATTTGGAGAGCCGTTGCTTCTTGTAACGGCGTGGCATTTGCGTAACCACCGCGTGTTATGGGCATCGCGCAATGTTCAAGAAATACAGGTAGCGTGCCCAATTTGCCAGGTAGAATGAAATCAAACAAGGACCACAGTTCCTTCAGAGAATTCTGCATTGGACTACCAGTCAGCAGCAATCGATGCGGAGTGGAAAATCGCTTCACCGCTCGGCTTACCTATAAAGTAATATAATTTAATTAATATGAGAAATAATATTTGGAAGTATTTTATAATAGACATTTATCATGTCAATTACGAAGTTTATTAAATAAGGAAATTTATATAGTAATATACAAATGTAAATAAAGTAATTCCATCCAATTTTTAACAAGTAATTACCTTTGCTTGTGGGTTACGAATCTTATGGCCTTCATCCAGAATAACATAATGCCATTGACTAGAGACAAGCAAATCTTTGTGTTTGAGGACTCCGTTGTAAGAAGTAATAAGTATTCCGCCAGTTTGTAAAGATTCTATCAAACTTTCTGGATCACCTGAATGAGAATATTACGAATTTTGAGAATATCATTTATGGCTGATATCTTGAGAAACATATATAAATTATTTACTTACCATTGTAGCCACCAGAATGGTGAAGCACAACGACTCTGAAGAAAGGCCACCATTCGTGAAAATGCTTCACCCATTGCTCCATTAAAGTAGCAGGACACACAATTATAGTCGGGCCTAATCCTCTGTATCTGTTAATTATGAACAGAATTTGTTTTCCCAAGTGCATAAATACATTTATAATATAAATATAACGAACTAAATAAAACGATATATATATACATATATATATATATATATATA